TGAAAATTTAGTGGTCCAATAAAACCACTTAGATTATTAATTTAGATGTTCGAAAGCTTTATATGGTACACAAACTTGAGAAGAAAAAAAATCGAACTTCACAATTATACAATTTATGTTATGGTACACATTAAAAATTATTTATTGACATCTATAACACCTTAAAACTAATTCAGTTCATTACTCTATAGTTATTAAAGATTAGTATTTATTAAAATTAAATGAAAAAAAGGTTAAATAATATTAATAAATAGATTCAAGATAGAGATTAAAATGCTGAAACCAAATAAATAAATTAAAAAAGAAAACAGAGAAAGTAAACACAAAATTATGTTCATGTGAATTTGAAATTTTTGTACCAAACACTTTCAGTTATTTCTTTTAAATACCAGGCATTTGAAATCTATACCATTGAGTAGTATTTGAAATCTATACCATTGCATATAATTGGTACATCAATTTTTTTTTTTTTTGAACGAATAAAGCTTGATGCAAAAATGCAAAAAAAAAAAACTTTGTTACTATTTTGTAAATTCCAAACATATTTCAAGACGGCAGTGTTTTTAAGGTTAAATTCTTCAACTAAAATCAAAATTCACACGCAAACCAAAATTAGTCTTCATAAAACTCATATTAGACCTATCGCTTTGTATGAAAGTGAATACTGGTTACTTAATAAAGCAGAAGAAAACTTAGAATTAATTTTTAAAAGAAAAATATAAGGGGAAATGAATTTATATTCCAGTTAAACAAAACAAGCATATGGTAAATCCTGTACGTACAATTATGAAGTATAGAAAAGCTTTAAAAAACCTAACATCATTAAAATAGTTCACGCATCTCGCATTATGTGATTGAGTCACATTTATCGTTAAGGAGACTCTAGCCGCTCTCAAATAGTGCGGGTTCGAGGAAGTGTTCAAGTGGTTCCACGAGTTAAAACTTTTTTAAGCATATTTTTAACATTTTTGAAACCTGTAATTATATTTAGTATGTGTATTATATCTAATTAGTGTTAGTAATTATATCTAGTATGTAATTATATCCGATCACCAATCCATTATTCCCAATAAAAAAGAGATAGCATTTTTTTTTTTTTTTAAATACATAATTTTTCATTGTTTGAATAATTTATGAAAAGGGCATGCATTTATAAAATATTGCATTAGTATTTCCCATCGTGCTTTTCAAACCAAAATAAAATAACTAAATTGTTCAAAAAAAATGTTTCCCTTCTAACCTATTTTCAACGTTTATAGCAGTTCTTTCAGTTTTCCTTTCAACAAAAATCATAATTTGGCTCATTTTCAGCTTATGTCTATACACCAAAAACAAATTTATAACAAAACTAGATTCAGCTCGATGACTGAGAATTCAACTGTCGGCTATAAAACCTTAATTAAGATTGATAAAACGATAAAGAAGAGCCCTTTTTTAATAACATATTTTCAAAATAAAGCATTCTTTTAAAAGTTAATATGTTCATAATTGTCTCCACATTTTTTAATTATAAAGACGAGGTTCCGTTGAAAGAATGCTGATCATTTAGGGCTCTAAAGCCGGAAAAAAAATGGGAACCGCTGCTATAACCGAACGAAAATATAACCCACGAAGTGTCCTAGTAATGTTGAGAAGGACTTAAAACTTTTGGGGATAAATCGGTGAAGAAATACTGAGTCAGATCGAGTCAGAAAACTTGGTAAAACTAACCTGACCTTTAAGTGGCTGTAGCGCAGCAAAAGTTATATCATTGTATATTAATATCTGTATACATAGCTTGATTTTTATCCATTATTTAATTAAAATTTTGCATCAAAGGATGAGTCAACTAGTGACACATCAAAAATGTTTTTTGTTTTTTTTTAATAAATTTTAAAATAATTGCTATTTGAACTTTACATCACAAGCGAGATGTAAGGCAATCAGTGTATGAGCATACTATTTACAGGTAAAGGCAGCTCACTTTAAATTTATCCAGTGAAAAAGTTAAAGACTTGTAAATAGAGTAATTTTTTATAAAAAATAATAAAAGTCGATAATATTTTTATTTAATGTTGATCTAAGTGCTTCAGAGATTGTGTGCAGTCACACCCAAATTAATTTTAAATAAAAAAAAATTTTAAAAAAAGGAAAAAAGTTGTGATCGCCCTATTGCGATCACTGGTTTCATGGGTTGCGAAAACTGTCTCAATTGATGTTTGTCGTCGGATTGGTTTTCAAATCCTGGCTATGTACGAGTTTCAAGACGGGACAAAGCACTTTTCCTTCTTCAGTATTCATATTTATATAGAAATCACCGTCAAGACAGTAATTATAGGTTAATAATAAAGAGAATATAAAAATACTTTAAATTATTATTATGTAAATACATTAAGGGGGGACCCCATCCTGAGATGGTAAATTATTAACGTTTTTCTTCCATTTTTTTTAAGTAATAGAGACAATGCAGTGACTCCTTGTTTTTTACGTTATTTAGCTACAATTTAAGTCCATTTTAAAATCTTTTCTTTTACAAAATAATAAAAAATAAGTTGGTGGCAGCTCCGTGTGTGGCTGGTCATCAAAAAGTAGCACCTCACTGGCCTCATGGATTTAGAAGTCCTGAAACATAGGAAAACGATTTTGTTTAGATTTTCTGAAACATAAAGACATTGTCTAAAAAGTAGCATAACGATTTTTTGATATTCGCAAAATTACCAAAATGGCAGCAACTTAAAGAAAAAGTTAAGTTTTTCATTAAAAAAAATATTCATTAAAGTACTAATATAAAATCGAAATATAAAAATATCAAAAAAATCCTATGCTACTATCTAAAGAATATATTTTTACGTAATTTAAAATAAAGAAAAGAACAACTTATTTCGTTGTATAGATCATGAAAAAACGTTAGGCCAGGTCAAAAAACAGCGTTTTGAGAAAAACGCGTTTAAAGTTTTGACTTATGTTCAATCTAGTAAATTATTAAATTAGTAATGACTAACCTTTATTCTGCAATTCCAGGAATGTCTCCCTCCTAATCCGGCCGAACGGGCCTTTCTACCTACCTGCTTAGCGACGACTCTCTATTTTCCGGTATAACTTCCAAACTAAGTTAGGTACCGAGATATCGTTTTAGACAGACTTTAGGAAGGGTGCAAAGATTCGAAAAATGCAATAAAAAATTTTCGAATTTTTGAAATATTCGTGGATCCCCCCCCCCTTAAAAATGCTTGCTAGTGAAAACAAAAAGAAACAACAGCGGTCGCCTTAGGAAAGCAAGCAATGACGACGCGTGCGCACTGTTTACTATTACTCTTGAATACAGTTGAAGCGTGTGATAATGTCTAAATAAGTTGCTCACGACATCAAACCCAAAACAAGATCCATTTTACCAATGGGTAATAAATAAAATATTTTCGTGCTATTTTTTTCTTTAGCTCCAAATAAATATAATCGAAATAACAAAAAAGGCTTAATCATAATTTACCAAAATAAAACTATTCTTTTAGTTGCTAGAAAAATCAGAAAACAGATCCAAAATTACTCCTAATAGTTTGGTATTTTTCTTCCCGATTTACAATAATAATAGCTATGAAATACAATTGTACAAGAATAGAAAAATGACATCACAGTAAATAGTTACCAAAATTTAAAATATCTGCAGGGGATGGACAAAATAATGGAAACACTTCTATAACACATTTTTTTCATATTCCTCAAAAAATACATAACGAATCATTTTCTAACTTCAGAAATATTTAGAATTAATAATTATATTGGTAGTAATAATTATATTGGAAATAATAATTATATTGGTAAGTATAATTATTATTTCCAATATAATTATACTTACCAATAAATAACAAAATATATTGCCTTAAATTTTTTTAAAGCAAAGCATTTTGTTATTTAAAATTTTTGCTTTAAATTAAAATTAAAAAACATTCACTAAAAACTGTGCAACATATAAGTAATTAAAGTTGTTCTTTTATACAGCTCATACGTGTAAAATGTTTTTAAAAATAAATTCTCATAATTTTGTAGTGAATGGTATTTGGCAACTAATGAAAATATCTTAAAAAATTAAAAAGTTTCGAAGTAGTTTTTGTACTTTTTAAATTGATCCAAAAAAATCTGTTTAATTTTATCGAATATTTTCAAAATTATAGCAAAAATATGTAAGCCAAAAAATGAGTTTTTTATAAATAAAATGTCCATATCTCTATAATTAATTCACATAAGTTTAAGAAATTTTGTGAAATTATTACATATGATAATCAAAATAATTGCTACAAGTTACAAATTTATTGCTACATTTTTCGGCATAGGGCGTTCAAAAGTACAATTTTTTCATTTTTTTTTTTNCCATAAAAATATTTGTAATTAAATTTCAAATTGCCCTGAAAATTTTTTTTAATTTCATTGAATATTTTTAAAGTTACAGCAAAAATATGTAAGCCAAAAAATTAGTTTTTTATAAATAAAATTTCCATATTTCTATAATTAATTAACATAAGTTTAAGAAATGTTGTGCAATTATTACATATGATAATCAAAATAATTGCTACAAGTTACAAATTTATTGCTACGTTTTTTAGCGTAGAACGTTCAAAAATACAATTTTTCGCTTGTAATTTATTGTCGGTCCCTTAAACCTCTAAAAAATTTAAACTGCATCGATATGTACGAAAAATCGCATGATCACTTCTGAAATTTTAAAATAATTCTTTAAATATTTTTTTAGAAATATGAAAAAATGTATTTGTATCGAAGTGTTTCCATTGTTTTGTCCAACCTTTGTATATTTTGGACTATAAGCAGTTAAGGTTTATGTGTGACAAATCTGGGCTGTAGATTTTATATGTAAATCAACATCAGCCCTGTAATAAATTATGCAAGATTTTCTTGAATAATTTATTACAGGACAAATAGAACAACGAAACAAATAAAATAGAGCAACGAAGCGTTAAAATTCATTTAATAAAATATTCAATATAAAATCACGATCATTTTATCACAATAAATGACATACATAGAAAAATATAAAAATGCATTTGTATAAAGTATTTGACATACATAAAAAGATAAATTTGCAACACAAAACATATAAACACAAAAATGAAATGAATCAGTGAACACAATGTGTATATGAATGCACCTTTTATAAAGTTTTAATAAAACAATATGGCAAGATAAAATTAAAAGAAACATACATTTAGGTAACAAAATATAAGTTTAAACAACACCTTAAACAAGAGGAAATTGATTTCCAAATTTTTAATAAATTTTTAAATGTTAGGAACTTTAAAATTTTATTGAAAATTTTAGAGCAATTATATGAAAATATGGCAAGAGTTTTTGAGAAATGACTTTGAAATTAATGACTTTCAATTTTTACACATCATATCACATTGCTGCATGATGAACTTCCTCATAACAACAGCTCTCATTTTTCTCAGGCACAATCATTTAAAAATGCCGAGATACAAAAACATTGATTTCTGGCTGAGTACTTTTTTTAAAAAAACAAACTCAAAAGAAACGTTTTGAAAGTTTTGTAACATTATTTTTTAGCAGTTCAAAATTATTTGATGCTAAAATGTTACAAGATGTTAATGGCATTTCAGTTGAACAAAGAGAGTAAAAGATTTAAACTTAAGCATTTGTTTTTCATTCAAAATTTGATTCTCTTTCTTTTTTTCTTTTTTTCTAAATATCGCAAGAGTTCTTGTGGAATGGTATTCAATTTTTTCCTTATCTTATCACAATTATTAAAATATAATGAAACTCCTCATAGCAACAGCTTTTAATTTTTCTCCAACACAATCATTTGAAAATGCTAAGATACGAAAACTTTGATTTCTGGTTAGCACTGTTTTAAAAAGTAACTTAAAAGAAACTTTTTAAAATTTTGTTTTGTAATGTCATTTTATCGTACTTCAAAATCATTTGATAACTGAAAACTAGATATTAATGGTATTTCAAGTTGAACAAAGAGTACTACTTGAGCACTTTCTTTTCTAATTTGTTTTTCATTCAATCTTTTTTTCTTTTTTTTTTTTTGCTAACGTCACATTAGAGCTACATTGTTGAGTTATAAGCAATGGTTTCTTTATTAAGAGAGAATATAAGTTATTGTGACAACGTCACAGATTCAGAATTTCACAAGTTTTCTCTATACACCTGATCAATATATCTTAATCAGACGGCAAATTTCAGGTTACCTGATAAAATAATCATCTTTTTAATTATCAAATTCAAAAATTTCCTTCTTGAAACATAATAATTTTCTTTAAAAAAAAGTTAATGCAAGAAAACCATAATTATTTTTAAAAAGAATTTACACAAAAAATTAATTTTCATTTAAGTAACATTGTTTAAATACATAAACATAAATATAGAGATATTTTATCACATACAATATAGATACATTTTCTCACTTAATAGAGAAAATTTAACGGAATAAACAAGTAAAAGAATCACATAATTTTCACAGATCTTATAAAAATGCAATGTGATTTTACAAATACACATTATTATCACAAAATACAATTCAAATGGACGGTTCATAATATGACAATAATTTTTATAAGACAAATTTTATTTCAAAGTAACAAATTACTTAAAATTAACTAATTTTCAACTAAAAGACACAGATAACATAATTCTGTAACCTCATAAAGTATTAATACTAAACATGTAATACAACAGAAAAGAAAATATACAACATCAAAACAAACAAATTAAGAAATAAAATAAAATTATGTAGAAAAAAAAGCTAATTACATTTTTGAAAAATATATATTGAGAAGAAGGCAGGTTTTGAAATCATTTACAGCTTTTCAAATAAATTATAAATTGCATGCAATTAAATTGGCCCTTTCATATCTTATAGATTGCATTGTTTTTTTTTTTTTTTTTTTTTTTTTTTTTTTTTTTTTTTTTTTTTTTTAAGTAATATGAATTTCATTGAAAAATAAAATATGTACAGGGACCACCAAAAATATGTACCAAAAAAAGGGGCCACTCTGAATAACACTTGTTTGATTGAATCTACACATTCTATGACTTAATGGTTCAAGGGGGTGACTTTAAATATGCTAATTATTTAGAGCATACGTTATTTTAAGTCACGAAATCAGACACAAAAACGCACTTTCCCTTTATAAACATACCCCTTTTTCGATGGATTCAGATTTAGGACCCCCAAAATATAGGGGGTAGCCGCTATCTGGAAATATAGTCCCAATAGTTTGGTCAGGAGAGCATTCTAAAGTTTGGATCCCTTAATGTTAATTTTATCTTTTCCTTTATGGCAAAAATACCAAAAAATGCAAATTTTAAAAAAAAATATTTAACAAAACATTAAATTTAAATAATAATACAGGAAAATTCCAATAATCTAAAAACCTCATGTTTGGTAGTATGTCAAAAAATCATAACCATATAAATGAAAATTTAGTGAAATTTTCAATAGTATGAGTGAGTTTTTAGTACGAGTGAAATTTTAAATTTTCTAAGAGTGCAAACATTAGATTAGAGAGACATCGGAAGATTAGAAAATATCACAAAATTATTCCTACACATTTTAACTAAGTAACTTTATTTATCTTTATTAACCTGTTTCACTAAATAAGCAAGACTTGCAGGTAAAATCATTTAAAATGAACAGCAGCAAAAAAAAGTATAACAGCAAAATAAAAACAAGTCTAAAACAAATAAACAAAAGTAAATGCAAGATCTTAATGTGTCTAATAAAAAAAATTGCCTTTTTTTGTAAAGAGAATCATAACAAAGAAAAAGAGAATAACAATAAAAAGAACATAGAAGAATAAAATGTACAGCAAAGAGGTAAGTATAGTAAAAAATATAGAACTGCATGTAGCAATAGATACTACAACCAACAGGGGTAGAAATTAATAAAATTTTGCCACTGAGTGGAAGGACTATTAATTGACAGGTATTATTAGTCCATACACAATTTACTGGTCTGTTTACATATTGCTACTAGAATTAAAATAATAATGAAGTAAATACAAATAATATGAGATAATACAGAGAATGCCTAATGTCACAATTACAGTGAAATATGTTATTTTATGACAAAGACATGAAACCAAAAAACAAGAAACCCATCCTTTCACATTTATTGCTCATCTAGTGGACTATTGAAAACTATTTCATGGTGGTCCAAATTAAACTTTAGTGGTCTCAGACCAACAAACCACTGTTGATTTTGAGCCCTGATAAATATAAATGCAAATTCTTTACATTAAAAAAAAAAGTTATGCTATTATTCAAAAGAGGCTAACAAGACAATTGAATAAGTAATGGGGGGGGAATTCAAAATGGTTTTCATTACTTACAAAAAAAAAGAAAATAATTAAAATAAAAATGTTAAATAACAACACTAAGTTGAGTGCTTTGTTACTAAGTTGAAATGTGAAGACCAAAAAACTACTTTACTTTTTACTCATATCAAGAAATGTAGTCATAATTTTCACTCAGTTTCACAATACATGCATAAAGTGTAATATATATATATATATATATATATATATCCCATAAAAAGTTCAGAGAAAATGTAACTATGAAAAATTTTATGTTTTGGCTTGTTATGCTATTTAACACTTTTATTTTTCATAACAAAACTTTTTCTAAGATAACAATAAAAAGCAAATGTAAACGCCAACATGTTTGCAAATTATAAAAACGTACTCATGAAATGTATGAAATATGAAAGTACAAATAAAATCTTAGTAACTTATAAGTTTAGTATGATAATAATAGCACCATAACCTGCAATAAAATTTAATACTACCAAATTACTCATTTGGGGTAAGCGTATATAAAACACTATGGTGTAAAAAATATATATATTATCTTTATTCCAAGTAACCACAAACACTTGGAAAAAAAATACCCTAATTATTACAGACAGAGTTTATTGGATTTCCTTGATTGTTATAACTGATCGCTAAAATTATATTTTTTAGTTACGCCTTATTTTCATAAATTTAATATAGAATATAAAAACCTTTTACTTGCTAAAGTTGAAAAAAAATTATTTCAGGTACCGAAAACTCAAATCATTTCATTTTCCCTGACTATTTAAGTATTTCAGTTAAATTTCCAGACTTTACCCAGCTCTTTGGCCACCCTGTTACAGGAAATAAATAACTACATACCAAAAAACATTGCCACAGTTACATACTTTAAATACATAACCATTAAAAATTTACTCCTCCAAATTTTTCTTCAAAATCAATAATACATATATATTATATATATTAATAGATCGTTCCTTATAATTTTCTAAATAAATAATTATCTAATTTAATCTAAAAGTCAAATTATTTGCTCTAGTATAGTAAAAGACATACTGTACAACAATATTAACTATTCTTATTCAGCATGAAACCAAATAAAATAAAAATTTAAAAAATTTGCTTATACAGTGTTATCTTAATGGTAAGACTCAATCAAAATGATTGATTGTGTTGTTATTTGCAGATAAAATAGGCTGTACTATTGAGATCAGCTACAATCTTAATGGTAAGAATCAATCAAGATGATTGTTTGTGTTGTTATTTGCAGATAAAATAGGCTGTGCTATTAAAATCAGCTACAATCAGAATAGTAAGAATCAATCAAAATTATTTTTTCTGTTGTTATTTGTAGATAGAGTAGGCTGTACCATTAAGATCAGCTACACTCTTAATATGGAGAATCAATCAAAATGATTGTTTGTGTTGTTATTTGTAGATAGAGTACGTCTTTCAAAAGATGGATGATGATCAGATGACGTAACATCAATTAACAATCCAGGATGTGGAGGCTCCTGACAACAGCAACACATGCAAGTTTTCAGACTTTTCCACAAACCATCACAACCTTCCCATCCTTTATAAACCAGTGAGTTTAAAATAGCTTGCAGTGGATTTAAACTAGCCTAAAATAGTTAAGGTGAATAAATTACATAACACATATTACTTATATCTAACTTGAGCTACAAATTCTTATACTGAGTAATATTTAGATTTTAGACAAAATTTTTCAAACTTTACCAATGTAAAGTTATTGAATTACTTATTTTTAAAATGCAATAAATACTTTATTGATATAAATCAAAGTAAATTTCAGAATTTTTTTAACAGTCCAAAAATGAAGCTAAATAGTTTCAATGATTGTAACTACAATACTCTTTAGCCAAAAGATGTGTACTAGTTTTGTTACATAAGGTCACAAGCCCTGCCTTACAAGTCAGTTTTTGTCTACAAAAACAGATACAAATGAAAAGTTTCTTGAAGTTAAAAAAGTCATTTAATTCACCAAAATATAATGTGTAAATCTTTTAAAAATAAAAAAAACTATTGTATTTTTAATAAATTAGAACATGTGAAGATTTATAATTTCTCGTTTAAAGATTAGTTCTTCCGAAAGCTTTATAATAAAATTTGATAATTACGAAATGATACTAATTTGTGCATCAACTCATATTTTATTAGTTGGTAAATTATCAGTTGATGCACATAATAGCATCACTAATGTATTTATTTCATTATAATAGTCGCTTTCCAATGAACATTGTCTCTGTTGTCAATCTAAAACAGAACTGCTAATGTGAATGCTAGATTTTTAGAATCCTACATATCTACAAGTATCCTACACTAGACTAGACTAAACTAAGCAGTTTTTAAAGATTCATATCAAGGATTGGTTTCTTAGGACGAACTCCTCCGCTCAGCTTAAATGTTTTGATACTATCCTACGTCAACATCGAGAAAAAAGGTATGCTAGGATCTAACATTTCAGCTTGAGCATTGGCTGAAGTTTAGAGATGAACAATATAGGGAAAGAAAAATATATAACATCATTTCATAGCTTAAGAACAAATGAGCTTTTTTCTCATAAACACACATATTTTTTAAAATAAACCATCAGAATATAAACTAAATAGATACAGAAATAAGTCCATAAGCAAGTTATACATATTTAATGATTTTTCTTTTAAACGAAAAGTTTAAAAAAAGATATCAGTTTCTTTTTGAATCCTTAATAGTAAGAAAATAAAGAAAATAACTTTTAAGAAAATAACTTTTACTTTCTTAAGAACTTTTCATATTATATCAAATATCATATATAATATATTTTGTAGAATTATGCTTGAACTTATTTTAATATTTAAAAAAAAAACAATATTAAAATTTATAATCACAAGTATTTGAACTCAAAAAAAAAGAGAGAGAGATTTCATTTCTTATTCATGAGTCATAAAATAAAGGTTGTGCAATAGTTTTTAAAGAATAAAACTATAATTCACAAATTTAGGATTATTCATATTATAATTATAATTTGCATTTTGTAAATCGTCATCACATTTTTAAAAAAATTGAAACTTGACGAAATCACATAAATCAGACTCTTCAAAAAGGTGTTACTCAAATGTGTGTTTCGTTTAGAGATTCACTTGTTGTAATAAACATTATCGTAGTGAAAATATATTTTTTTAAGAACTCTGTGCAATAACTGCCAAAAAATCGATCATCAACAAATAGGATAATTGCATCAAAAAGTAAATACTCCAATGCACCATTCAAATTTCTCATATTATATAAAATATATCAAGAATATACATAGAATATATATAATAAGTCTAAAATATGTGTAAAATATATCAGGATTTTTAAAAACCATAGATAAATTAAGATCAATCATTATCAAAAAAATAGTAATACCATATGGATTTACCATGACATCGTCTTAAATTGAGCGAGTTAAAAAGTAATTAGATATTTAAATGTGTGATACGAATTCCGCATGTCAAAATAATATTAAATGAGAAAAGCTACATGGAAATTCATAGCAATATCTGCTAAAAAGTCAAAAAACGGTGGAAATACAGCATCTGAGGTAAAATAATCAAATGCATATGTTGCAAGAATATCAGTATTTAAAAAAATAATCATTAAAATATCAATAGTAATAACTGTGCAATTAAAGACATCGGGATATTAAAAAACAAATGAAAACTCATCACAATAATTTCCGGAAAAAAATAACAAAACACAACATATATTTACAATGGAATTTGCATGAACTGTGAACAAGAAAATGAAGAGTCAAATGCAATTTAAAATTTTAGTGACTATTGTCATATTAAAAATAATGAACAAATTTTATTTCAACCAAGTAAAAAAAAGAACTACAATGATTTATTAATTTTTTGCTTATTATATAATAATTTATTCAATAAAAATCTGAATTTGTAACAAAATCCCAACTCACAGTCACATTTTGCTAAAATATAGAATAAAATGTTTTTAAAAAAAATTTCTAGACAGAACTATTTTTTAAATTTTGGTGATTTCAAAATACTTTTCTAATATTAACTTAAAATTCTAGTTAAAACAGGGCATTACAGAATTTTTTTTATTCTCAAAGAAAATTTAAAAAATTAAGAGCATTTCTGCCTCCTCTGGAAAGGTATATTTAAAAATAATACTACAGTAAAGAAGAAGAAAAATATTGTTCTAAAAATTCTGCTGAAATAATAAATTTTTCAAAAAATTCTGCAGAAAAGAAAAGAAAACTTTTTTGCTTCCAAAATAAAAAATCTTACTGCAAGATCTCTGTAACGTTCTGCGACAATGTCGCTGTGTCACCATGATTCTGCCACTGGAGTCTCCAGAAAGAAAATATATAATGATCTGTGATATTGAGTGACCTAGCTTTATATCCATCTCTTAATATGCACATTTTATTTTATGATATGTCCGTCATTGAACAGCCGACCCAATCTTATGGGTTTACAACTACTCATGTTCAACTAAGTAGCCTTGTAATTTTGAACCCAATCCAGAAAACAAGGGAACTCCTGGATCGCGTATTGGGAGAAATTTGCCTTCGTGGAGTACTTTTTGATGGAACTAACCTGCATTTGCGTTACATGGACAGGAAGACCACGGTTAGCCTGGCGGCAAGGGGACTCTAACCCATGATTCATCTACCACTGACGATATTTCATGTCAGCACTGTGGTCGGTGCAAGCTGGATGCGGAATTCGTATCGACTGGTATTCGAACCCGGTCCGCCTCATTGGAAGGCAAACGCTCTATCCCCTGAGCCATCGCGGCTCTAATATGCACGTTTATAATGATTCCATCGATTACTGAAAAAAACAAAGAATTTTAAAAAAAAGATTATGAGTTAGATTTGAAATCAAAGTTTTTAATTTAGGCAGATCAAATACTTGCATCAAGGAAAATTAGCCTTGTATTCTGGTATTCATTCATTTTCATTTCCCTTCCACTTTTCATGTAGAAAAAGAAAGATTTGATTTCCTTTAAAAGTTATGTTCAATTTCGCCTACATATATCTGCTGGTGCGCTATTTTTCAATTTTTCTTGATGTAGAATCCCGAGTATGTGTTGGAAATACTTTTCATATCCCTTAATGGTTTTTTGGTGCATTTGATGCAACATAGCATGTAAGAAAAATCACTCCATAAATTTAATTTAGAGCTCTATATTTTCTGAGAAAAAGTTAAATTCTAAATTAATAAATATCAGTTGTTAAATTCTTGAAATGTAAGAAATTTCATATTCCACTAGAGAGCTGGTTTTCTATAATGATTTTAAATGAATGATTTATAATGAAGTCATTAAATCATCATTAAGTAATATTTGGTGCTCTGATGCATGGAATATATATCTGAGGATGGAAGATGAGCAAGAAGTATCACTTTATTTAAATTTTAAACTGAGTATTAGATCAATCAAATAGTTCATTTTAAAAGTTTTTCTTTTTTTTCGATGCAAACAAAATAATTTAAGTGAAATTAAATTTTTTTTGCAGTCACATGCTCTTATAATTAAGAACTAGCAAACTTTTATCTTTTTTTTTTAAATTTTGAAGAAGTTTTGGAGCTATTAAGTCTTAACTTTGTGTTCTGATGAAACTCATTAGTATAATCCATCCTTAAAATTTAAAAAATATTTCTAAATTTTTCCATAATTTTTACAAACAGTCTGCTCTCATTTGAAAAAAAATTAAATTATTTTTATTATAAAGCTTAATGTTAATATTATATAAGCTGATACCTAGAGAGTTTAAAATTATCACCACTGCTCCTTCGTTTCAAGTAAAGTTGTCTCCCCTTTTAAGTTTGGCAAAATATCAATTTCATGGCAAGCTCAAAAGGGAAAAAATCGCCCAATATGTTTTGAAACTTAGTATAAAAATCAAAGAATAAAGCCTGAGTTATGAAATTACTATGAAAGTGAACAAAGAAATCTGTGTTGGCAAAATATAATGAGCAAGGGATAGAATACACCAACAATAAAAAAACGGCTGTCAAATATCAGATTTAGTAATAAATTTTATTAAAAGATTGTTACATACTGCATTTAGAATATAAAAGTCTGAAATAATTTAAATAACTTACCATTACAAACCATACACCTAGAATTACATTTTTAGGCAAGTTAGACCAAAAGCCCCATAGTAAAATACCATTGATTATATTAGGAATCCAACTAAAACAATAAAAAGAGGAAATAAAATTTACTACTTTTTCTGTATTTAAGCAATTAAGAGATTTTTTTAAGTATAGAGTTAATAAAAGTTAGACACACTGCTTCAAAAATCTCACTTTATTTTAGACTAAAAAACATGCAGGAACCTTGTAAGTTTTAAAATTCAAACCTAACTTCTGTTTTAATTTTTAAAAAAAAGCTCAGAAGCAATAGGTTTCAGTTACTTTTACTAAATCGGGATTAGATAAACAATCAATTTGCATTTACCACATGTTGATATTATAAATTTTCTGTTTGCAAGCGTTTGGAGAAAAAAACTAATTTGTATAGAATAGACAAAATACTTTGCAGATTGTAATTATGAATTTTAATGAAAGGTATAAACATAAAAATAATTTAAACATATAGGAAACCCTTACATTAAACTAAAATGTAAAATATATAAAGTTGCAGCTAAAAGTTAATTCTAAAAAGTGAATTGAATATTATTTGGCTTAAATATAGTAAAACTTACCAAACATAAAATACTAAGACAATGCAGAAAAACTTTTCTTTCAAGGCAGCAAGTAGATTGTGTTCTAAATAAGTTAATTGACCAAGACCTCCGGTAAGCAAGACTCTTACTAAAAAAATTATAGATACAAAATATAAAATAATTCATTTCTATAAATAGAAATTTCATATGGTATACAATAAGCCATACGCTAGCTAGAGGTTTTAAAAATAAAAACTATACAGTTGCATAACATACATAAAATCAAAATACATTTACACTACAGGAACGCATACTAATTAAATAATTGCAAAAAAAAATAAAACCATATGCAGTAGAAGATCTATATAATGCAATTCTGTAGACCATGATTCTCCATAAACTTCACGAACTATAAAGCAAATTCAAACTAAACTGTTGGTTGTTAGTTCTAAAGCATTTCATAACTAATTTAATTTGCATTTAAATTTTTCTTCCTGCAAATAATAAATAACTTAACTGTGAATATAAATAACTTGCAGAAAAAAGAAAATTACGTACAGAGGAATATCTATATAAATTCTGTAAACTGTAATTCTCCATAAACTGCATTAAGTTAGCAATCTTTAAGGCAAACCAAAGCTAAAAAATTTGTTGGTTGTTAATTATAATGCACTTGATAATTAAATTTTTCCCTGTAAATAATAAGTAACTTAAGCACTTGTTTTTATATTTTAAAGCATTTGTATTAAAAAAATTGCCTTAAAGCAGTGATGTTGACATGTTCCATAGACACTAGATTGCTATGTTTATAAAGGTAAATTAAATTATTTATGTAACATAAAATTCTTTATAATATAAAGCCTGACATTTCAAGATTTGCATTATAAATATATTCTTCTTTATTTGTTTCATAAAAGAAAAGTTTGCAATCTGCAACAAAACATAAGTTTAACTTGATTTACTAGTATTTTTGTGAAATAGTACTTAACCTCCCCCGACACATACTTCACTAGAAGTAGTTACAAATTGCAAACAACAATATTCAACTCACCATTTTTAGAAGATATATAATACAATATAGGATTAACAATCATGACACACAGAATAGGAACATAAGACAACATGTAGTTAGGTAACACTCTGTAAACTCCATTATGGCAGCTAAAATTGCAAAGAAAAAAGATAAAATTTTAAATTTCATTAAGTGAAAAATCACAAATCTTTTAATAAAACCATTTCAATAAGTCCTTAAAATTTTCTAAACATTAAAAATGAAATTTTTAAACTAAGAAAAGTTTCACATCTTCTTTTTAAAAAAATTTTGCATTTAATTTATAACTTAAAACTTATACATAATAAAGAAATAAAAAAGAAAGATAGAATCAGATGCAACATAAAATATTTGGTTTATTTTTGTATATTGGTCTAAATATATGGATGAATTTTTATATTTTGTTGACTGGCATAAAGTTTCTGTTTTTTCTATTTTTCTTTTTTCTCCCAACAGACATGGGACGCTTTTTTTAATGCCAGAAAAACCAGAAGTACGTATTTCAACAAAACCAAATCAGATTGCGATTTTTGCTAAGTAAATACTTTAATACTGCTTGATTTGAGGAACTGCATCCTAGATCAAAATTCAACCTCAATAATAATAATAAAAATCTTTAAACCTTAATTTTATCAAAGTTTTACAACAGGAAGAAGATACAAGCACAAAAAAAATCTTAACCTCTTATAAACATTAAAAGTTTAAAAAAAAAATTTAAAATGTAAACTAAATTAATTTTTCTTTGTGAAACAAATATATGCATCAACAAGCAACACACACCACACATGCACATAAAAACAATCTTTTCGTCTAAATCCTTGACAACTTATTTGGTTGAAAAACATTTTCCAGAAGCAAATTACTTTTCCTCTTTAACCAATAAACAATATTAATTTTTTAAACTGAGTAGTATAATAACTAAAATTGCTATGTCTCAACCATGTACTTTCTTAAATGAAAATTAATATATTTAGAACTATAAATCTTGTAAAAATAATTAAAAATTTACAACACAGTAATTACTTATCATAAGTAAGATATCCAGTCCTCTACAAGAAAAATTGTGCTACTTTTCTCCACAATGCCCATGGGTAGGCAAAACAAATAAGTAGCTAGTTGCTTTGTCATTGCTTTGCTTAATAACATTAAAGTTATTAAAAATTATTTTAGATAGATAAAAATAGGTAAATGGGATAAAAATGGGGGCTAAAGTAGCACTAAATTCTTCGTTTCAAATGGAAGAAAATACAAGTACTAGTTAGCTTCTGATCTCTAAATCATAATTTTTATGCAAGAGATATTTATGTAACTAAATCATAACAAATTTTTGGCATAGTAAAAGTTTCAAATTAAATGCTGTAAAATTACAAAATTTAATACTTTTATTAACCACTAAATCTATAAATCAAAACATACAGGGTATTTCTCAGAACAAATATATGTGTTTTTAATATAGTAATACAAAATGTATATACGTACATAAAATTAGGCAAGTATAATGTCCCCAAACCAATGAAAGACATAAAAACAGATGTAGTCCAAGTAATAACATGATACAAAATTGGATTCCTACATGAATAGAAAAGATGTCAGTGCAACAAAATAATAACTATTTAAATCAGAATAACTCAGAAATTTATTAAAACAAAGAAAATATATTTAATCACAACATATTCAATAAAGTAAGGTAATAATAAAGTATTCAATAAAGTAAGCAATCATTGATTGATGATCTCAAGTATTATATACATATATGGTGCAGTTTAGACACAATTGGCGGTTATATTGAAGTATTTAAATTTTGTATTGAAAGATTTTAGGAGAGAGAATACCCTCCAACTTTTTTTACTTATTGGTAAGGGAAAATAATGATAAAAAATTTTCACAAGTTGAAATTTTGCTAAATTCTTAAATTCAATTCAGAACCCTGCATTACACTTTGCGTGAAAAATATTGAATACCATAAAAAAAAAATTTAAAAAAATTTCAAAATCTAACTCTATGATATTGCAGGGTCCATAGTCAAATTATTCAACAAAAAATAAGCACTTTTCAAGTACTCAAAAAATATCTTCAAGCACTTTAAAAAATATTTTTAAGCACTTTAAAAAAATAGTTTTAAGCACTTTAAAAAAATAGTTTTAAGCACTTCGGATAATGCAAAATAGAACTTCAGACTTCCAATTTCCAGGCTTAATTATATTTTTACAAAAACTTTTAAACAAACCACCAACTCATTCCTGCTTGAAATTATGTTTACTACAAATATTGACAGCCTAATAATGGGAAGGCTAAATAATTTAAAAACTTTACTATCTAATTTTCAATAGTTGCAAAAATATATTTTAATAAAAAAGATACATAGACTTACACATACAAAATAAAGTGAATGCTTCAATAGTCATGATTATGATGATATTCCATGGTAAAAAGTGTGAACAAAAAGAAATATGACCCAGATTTGCAGTTGTAGTTCATTAACGCCGCGCTAGAGCTGCACAATGGGCTATTGGCGACAGTCTGGGTAGCATCCTTGAGGATGATCGGAAGACAAGCCAACACAATTTTGATCCTCTGCATAGGGGATAACACCCCCACTTCGTTAGCCCAACGACCTGCACGCGGAGTCGAGCACGGTACGGTAGAACAGTTTAACGAGGACCCATACCGCACATCCTCGGTCTCTACGCAGACTGATCGAAGTGGTCCCCCACCCGCACACTGACCACAGCCAGTGATGATTGACTTCAATGATCTGCTGGGAACCGTGTCTTAACAATCAGTCCACTGCGGGACAAGACCCTAATTTGATTGTAGATGTAGGAAGATACAGTACAGAACCAGTTATCCGGAAATCAGAAAACAGGAAAACCAAAAAACCGGAACGAAATTCGATAAATTTTCCCGCAATTTTTTTTTCCTCTTAAGATTTTAGGATTTTTCTTTCTTCTTCCATCATTTTGGAAATAATTATTAGTGTATTACTTCATCATTTTTCCTTCTTTTTAAGATTATTTCCAAATATTTATTTTTTTTTAGTTGGGCTTAACAATAAAAGAACGGCTCTTTGTAGCGATTCAGAAAACCGGAAAAATCAGTTATCCGGAATAGCGATGGTCCTGATCGCTCCGGATAATCGGTTCCCTACTGTACATGTTTCCAACTTAATAAAAAAAAACTTCAATTTTCCAAAGTTTATTGATGAAAATAGGTCAAAAAACGATGTGACCTTCGTAATACAAATATTTTAATTATTTATAGTGAATTCCATCCAAATTACTCTGGATAGCGCTATAGAACCCAAAAAATGTGCTTTAGATGAAAATATGTAATTCTGGTAAATTGTTGGGTGAAAATAGTGAATTTACAACAATTTCTCCTGCCAAAAGAGTAAGTGGGAGACCATTTTGGTTTGGACATGTAAATCAAGCACTTTTGTTCATGCAGAATCACAGTTACCTACGGGACAGGAAAATATATTCAAATTTACTGTACAGTGTTATGGAAGTTCTAATGAAAATACCAGATACGAAGTAAAATTAGTAAATACCACTCTATATTT